TGAGAGACGCGGACTGATGACGGTCTAATAACTGGGGGCGAGCGCGATAGGTGGGCGAGAGCGAAGAATACATTCACTATGTTGAAAGCGAAGATTATCACCAACTCAGTCTTGAAACTCCTCGACCCAGAACGTACTCCCGCCATTGTGCTCTACGCGAACAAATGGACTATATCGGCGGCATTGATGCAGGAACACTAAGGTGTATGCCATCCGGTGTCCTTCACCAGTCGCACGCTGATGACAAACGAACTCAACTATAGAGTGATGGATGAAGAGGTATTGGCTCTTCTGCGGATCTTGGACGTCTGTTACTCACAGCTGGTAACCAGATCGATCAAGGTCCTGTCGCGATTCTCAACCTTGGCCTGGATGCTCAAGTCGAACGTATTTGACGGTCGATTGGGTAGGTGGGCAACACTGCTGTCCGGATGGACGTTGGGGATAACCGAATGTGTAAAAGGCGAAGAAGAAATCCTTGGAATAATCGCAGCTAGCATCACTCCCAGAGCCGATGTGAATGAAGTCGTAGTCGCGATAGCACCAAAGAAAGAGCCACGCAAAATGATCACCATGCCTCCACCGACGATCGAACAGGACGAGAACATCTTGGTGAGAGACGACGTCACGCACCGAAAGCGATGGAAGAATCTATCATACAACGTATACGATGTCAGAGGATCAGGCAGGCTCAGGAAGAAGAAAAATGGATTGTAGACCTGAAGAAGTACCTGGACGGGGGGGGGTGAATGCCTTGACGGCAAAAGAGGAGAAGACATGTTCGCAGATTGCTGCGACTTATGAAGTAGACGAAAATGGGCTGCTCTTCTTTTGCCGCAAAAACGCTGCAACGAGACGAAGACCGCGATGGCATCGTCAGAATGGTAGTACTCGATAGCTTGCAGTGAGATTTCCTTCATCATTATCATGCCAGTCTAGAAGGAGGCCATCAAGGTGTCAGAAGAAAGTACTGGAGGATCCAAGCGAACTTTCACTGGCGTGGGTTGTATCGAAGGGTACAACGATACGTGGGGGAGTGTACCGATTATGAAACCGGGAAGGGAAAGGCAACGGGTCAGGGAGAGTCACCAGGGAATATACAGGGCACGTACCCTTTTGAGGTGATCTCCATGGACCACATTTCGTCATTGCCGAAGCCATTCAAGTGGGGAACACCAAACTGCTGATTTGGAGCGGCTTGTTCACGGGCTATGTAATCGCCAAAGCTGGACCGTCAAGAGAGGCGTAGGCAGTGGCCGAGAATTACGAAGAATGTGTCTTCCGTCGCTTCGGCGCAAACGAAATCATCAGGCATGATCAAGAGCCGGGCTTTATGTCAGACTTTTTCCGTGCCTTCAACCGTATCGTGAAGATGAGGCAGAACGCAACGATGGTTTATCGTCCACAACGGAACGGCAAGGTCGAGCGGACGGTACAAACCCTGACGCGAGCCCTGAAGATGTATGTTGCAGATGTCAACCAGCAAGATTGGGACTACTACGGTCATGGATAACGACATTTGTTTGGGAGCAGTACAAACAGTAGGCTGATTTTCGCGAGTGGGAAGCGTGGAAACACAGAGAAGACATCGCATTTGGAGTTCACCCACAGCTTTATCTATATCCGTGGACAGCGCCTGCTAATGTAAAATGACTCAAGTTAGCAGCCATAGTAAGAAAAAATCCGATCCAGAAAGATGAAACGAAAACAACACTACAACCTGCAGCCCGTTGTGACCACAATTCAGAAACGTAAAATGAGAATCGGGCTGGAGAAAAAGTGCCCTTTATCGATCTCTACAACAATTATGGAATAGAGCGATCTTGTTTACAGATTATCAAAATTAGACAATTTAAAGCATTGCGCTTGGAGCACTAAATCTCTTTTACGACGGATAGCCAGCTTGTAGAGATTTCCCAGAGTCAGAGTGTGTTGAAACAGACGATCTATCGACCATATTATATGGGAACGTCGGAAGGCTCAGGAGGCGTGGAAGACATGGACCATTGGTTTGCCAAACCTACTATGCCTTCTGACTGAAAAAAAATCCTGCCAAATGTTGCAGCAAGGGAGGCCTCTGAAATTACTACGAATTTTATGACAACTGCACAGCGGTGCATCGGTAGATGGACTAGTTAACATGACATAGCGATGACGATTATCTGGGAAATTTGATCGTCAATTACACCGACGCTGGTGTCGCGGCTAAGAAATCGCCATGTTTTCAACAACCTCCATTCGTCGACAATGGATACAGCCTCCATTATTTGGGCAGCAGGTACATTTCAAGTGTTAGTGGTAGCAAGTGCATGAAAAACAAGGGTAGAAACTAGGATTCAAGGGTACTGCCTAGACACGTGTCAACCCATAATGATGGCGACAAAACCATAAGTGGAACAATCGGAGCTTTCGGTGTGGATGGTCAAGTATCACAAGAAACCATCGCTGATAGCTGGAGGATGGATGCATTACCGGTTAAATATGGGAACTGAAAGCTTCCAGCAGCATCCGTTTCGACAATCAGGAAGCAATCTCCAACTACGGGAAAATTCTGTTGGAAGAAAGCATGGGGGACGTCAGACAAAACGAAGACACAACCAAGATTTTACTACAAATTGAAAGCCTACAATCGTCATATTTACAATTTGGCACAGGAAAAGATGCCAAACTTGAGTCCGAA